AGTTCTAGTATAATAAAGTTATCAAGATCACTTCAATAGACAAAATGTGGATTAACTACTAATTCTAATACATACTCAGATTCTAATAACTAGGTTGGGCAGCTCCTTTTTTTCAATTGGGGGCATTAATACCCTGGAAAGGTTTTTGGGCCATGTAGGGATTGCAGGTTTATAGGAGGCAGTTAATGCATAGCTTTGTGAAGAACCTAATGTTTTTCCACCTTTTTAAGAAGTCTGTCTGGAAATGACATTTAACATGCAAGGGTGTGCACAGATGTGCCCATTAACTTGCTAATGAAGGCATAAGTTTAATAATGTGACTCCTGCAGCTACTTACACAAGTTTTTATTTTGAAAAGAGATTGAGGGCGGGGGGCAGGGAGGGTTGAGGAGAATATTTTGGATGTTGTCCCTTCCTCTTAGTGAATGTTGCTAGGATAGACTATATCTTTGGTGATAAGAATCAAGAAAAACATAGCAGAGTTGCTTACCAGCTGGAAAGAAAGGAGATAGGGGAAGCAGCATTACAGGTTGCAGCTGTGGGTTTGTTCTCCCCCTGTGGATTATTTAAATGGGCATCTATCAGAAAATCATGCTGGGAAAGCTTCCCTAAGAGTGATCCAACAGTTCTTGTCATAAACTATAGATGTCTTACCTGTAATGTTCCAGACTGCCAAGCATTAAATGGTGGTTGGTTGGATCATCCACATGAACATTAGAGACATACAGATCTTAAATTGGTGACTTGTGTATGAGCCATTTTCCCTTTCCAGCAACAGGGTAAGTGTATGTTTTTATAATATTTGTGCTTTGGTGTGCCTTATAAACCCTATCCTGAATCTGTTGTACAGGTTGCACCAGCCAAAACTGGAATTGTCTGGTCTGGCAAAGGATCACAGATGTTCCTGGATCAGAGAACCCCAGTAGTCTAGTGGCAGGAGGGCAATCCAGGAGTGGCTGGGTTGAAGCAGAGGGATGGGGCAGGAGCTGGTAGCAGCCTCCAACAGTCTGTGGCACTGGGACCGGGTCGGGACAGCCACCAGCAGCACAGGACTGGGCCGGCAACAGCCTATGGCAGTGCAGGGCTGGGGCCAGCGCCCTGAGCAGTCTGTGGAAGTCTATGTTTCAGCGGCTGAATCAGGACTCCTGGGGCAGAGCCGCTGGAGTGCTGCCGGGTTGGTCCAGTAGTGCCAAGGAGCGGTGCTGCGGGACCAACGGGCAGCGCCCCACCTGCTCTACCACAGGCCCGGGGCTTTGCTCCACGTCTCCCTGGTCTGCGGGGGGGGAGTAGCTGCATCCCCCCCCAGCAGACCAGAGAGACGTGGAGCAAAGCTGCGGAGGACCCGGGCCGAACCGTGGCGCTTCCAGATCAGCAGCGCGGGGGGGGGGTGTGGCCCCCCCCCCGCCACTGCCGCTTTGCTCCCGGTGCCCCTGGTCTGCTGGGGACCATCTCCAGCAGACCAGGGACACTTGGAGCAAAGCCGGGGAGGCGGAGGGGTCCCGCGCCTCTGAGGCTTTACTCTGGCAAAGCCTCAGAGTCACGGGACCCCTCCGCCTCCTTGGCTTTGCTCCAGGTGTCCTTGGTCTGCTGGAGACAGTCCCCAGCAGACCAGGGGCACCCGGAGCAGCTTTTCTCGCCCCGGAGGTCGAGGTGGCGGGACCGCTGCATTCTGGGCGGTCCCGCTGCCTGAGAGCTCCGGGGCGCGAGAGCCCCGTTCGTAAGTGCGGATCCACGTAACTCGGGGACTGCCTGTACACTGCAGTGAAATGACTGAAGATTTTTCTTTACTGTGTAGACCTACTTCACTACTACAGCAATTCAGAGTAGCTTCTTATATCAGCTTTTTATTGAACTTAATTACAGCGTAACCCTGGAAATTCTTCCTTTTTCCTTAGTGAAATGAATCTCCCTTCTTTTGTTCATCTGATCTCTGCCCAGCAAATTACCCTCAAAGCTTTTCCAAAGCTGAACACTGCAAACCAAGCCTGACAGTTGAAAAAATGATGCATTTGAAAAGTAGCTATTTATTTAAAGCATGGTTTGGCCCTGGTACTAGTTGACAGGTTCTAACAAAGTTCTTAACATTATAACCAAAATAAATAGTACATGTCCAGTGGTGTCTCAGTTGTGACACACAAACTTACTAATGCAAAACTATTTTCTGTAAGCGTTCTAGTCATGGCTGGACTGTACACTACTATGCATACTAGCTGCCTTTTTGTATACTGTTACAGCACATCTGATTTTACTACTGTATCTGATTACTGCAGTACTTTTTGGGCATGAGTGTACATTTTAAATTATTCGTGGGAGAATTTAAAAACAGATTTGTTGTCTGAGTCTCATGATTTTGACAAGCCCAGTTCCTTCAGCCTCCCCTCATAGATCATGTTTTCTAGACCTTTCACTTTCATTGCTCTTCTCTGCACCTTCTCCAATTTCTCTACATTTTTCATGAAATGTGATGCCCAGAACTAGACACGCTACTCCAACTGAGGCCTAATGAGCTCAATTGGGAGCTCAGACCCCTCCGCCCTGAACAGGGGCTGCCCGGAGACTATAGAATAGTTTATAAGAATTCATGAGGTTAATCAACTATTTAATTAACCGATATTTAACATCCCTAGTTTAGGACAAGCAGTCCAGGACAACCAGAACTACATTTCTGCCATCTGCCTCAGTAAATGAGGCTGTCTACACTATGACTTTTGCCAGAAGAGGCAATGCAAATGAAGCATGGATTAGCATTTTCTCATGCTTCATTTGCATAATCCCTACCAATCCATTTTTGCATAAGGATTTTTTTTAAATCCCCTTAGAAAAAATTCAAGGCCTGAAATATTTGACTAGTGTTCAACTCTTTCTACCTTGTAATGTCTTACAATTCAGAATGGAAAACTCTGATTGCCATTCCTCATGGTGACTGAATATTTAGGTTTTCACCTACAAACTTTGTTCAGCCTTATTCTACCTGTTCCCAATTTGGACCATGGAGAATTTATAAGGATTGCTTGGGAAAAGCAAACTGTCAACTGAAAGTTTATTGTTAACTGCATTTGGACTCCACCGACAAATAATAGTTTGTATAAGAATACTACTGTATCCCAAAAAGATAAAAAAATCATTGAGAAATGAACATAACATCTACTCACTGTTAGGATTGCCAGGTGTCCAGTTTTTGCCCGGATAGATCGGTATTTTGGCCTTCCATACAGTAAAAAAAACAACAGAGAATACCGGACATGTAGAATGTCTGGTATTTTCTGTTTTCCTCAGATGGAAGGCATCTGCGAGGGCAGGGGAAGCGAGGAGTGCAGTAATTTAAAGGCTTAACAAGTTTGGTCTCTTCTCCTCCCTCCCTCCCCCCCTTCTGCCAACCAAATTTTCCCTGCCTGTTTGGGATTTTTTTTTGTGAAGGTATCTGGCAACCCTACCCGCAGATGGGTGCTGCTTGGGCCAAGATGCTGGAGCAGCTCCTGGCTGTGGGGCACCCTGGTCTGCTGCAGGAAGGGCTACTCATGCCCTTTTTTGAGGCTTTTTTCTAGTTTGTCACCAAACTTAATAGGGTTCTTCCTATTGTCACCTAGATTGTGACATGAAACTTCAGAATTCATTGGCTGAGGTCTTCAAAATTCACCAAGTTACAGAGAGAGAAGCACATATGCATGGGGGGAGAGAGAAATGAAATCAAGGTGTGTTCAGGCCTTGTTCTGCTTGCCTTGTAAGTGTAAACAATGTTTTCCTCTCCCCATCCCTGCACACTGATATACTTTGTTTAAACAGCAAAAATGGGGTCCAGCGCACATCAGTTTTTCTGTAATTTGCAGAATAACCCCGGTTTTAGAGTTAGTCATAAATTTACCATTATTTGATATTTGTAGTAGAGATGTGAATGTTTAACTATGGGAGGCGGGGCCTGGAGCAGCTCCCCACCTGGTGCAGGCAGGAAGCTGCTCTAGCCCCACAGGGGTGGAGGGAAGCTGCTGCATTTAGGGGCTGCTCTGGACAGGCTGGAGCAGTCCCCTCTCCTGTCAGTCCTCCTTTAATCGGTTAATCAACTAAATGGGTTTTTACATCCCTGACATGTAGTAGCAGTATTATGATTTTATTTCTGTATTAGTCATGGCAACAGGCTGGTGTCTCAAACACAGAATTGTGACATCACTTCAGGAGCTAGCAAGAAAGACCTATGCTGTTGAGGGTTGAAATCCTTGGGAAAATTCGAAGAAGAAATATCCAAATAAACTTTTTCATAATGTAAAATGTCTTCCTAGACACATTCAAATGAGGAAAGGCTTATTTTAATGTCTTTTAAGGAGAGACTTTAATCTCTGAGGATTTGGGGTGAGGGGAAGATTGTATTGTGTTGGGTGTATCTGATTTAAAAGCCATTTAATCTTTATGCTCTTGTGGTAGCGTATCCATTGAGAAGCATATAATACTATATTTGCATCTTAATATTATAGTGGGCAATACTTGGTTTGATAAATTCTGTTTTGTATCTTGCACAAATAAAATTTAGGAGAAAATGACTTGTGTTCAGCCATTTGTTTTAGATAGTCTTCAAAGCTTTCTCATAAATTGAGTGAAATCCTTCTCTAATTCAATCTTTGTCTTTTGTCTTTGCTGCCTTGCAGGGTTGGTACAGTAGGCCTCACTAGACTTAGCTGCAGCTAAGAATTTCTCCTACATCAACAGAGTGCGTGCTAAGTTCTCAAATTTCCATTTAAGAAGCGGAGAAAATAAATCTGTCTTCTCCAAGTGTACCACCACCACCACCATCAAGACAGCAAACCAAGAGATAAAGAATTTGATCTGCAGTGTTGATAAATGTAAACTACTTCACATATTATCTAAAGACTGCTTGGGGGGTGAGAATTGGACATCGGCAGTTGGAAATCATTTTGTTTATAAAAATGAGGGCTTCTTTGGAAACAGCAGACATTGCCATTGTGACACTATACTTCGTGCTTGTACTGTGCATAGGCTTTTTTGCCATGTGGAAATACAATCGAAGCACCGTAAGTGGATACTTCTTGGCAGGCCGTTCTATGACTTGGGTAGCTATTGGTGCATCCTTGTTTGTGAGCAATATTGGGAGTGAACATTTCATTGGGCTCGCAGGATCTGGAGCAGCAAGTGGATTTGCAGTAGGTGCATGGGAGTTCAACGCCTTAATGCTTTTACAGCTATTAGGATGGGTCTTCGTCCCAGTCTACATACGGTCAGGAGTATATACCATGCCTGAATACTTGTCCAAACGCTTTGGAGGACATAGAATTCAAATATATTTTGCAGCGTTATCTTTAATTCTTTATATCTTCACCAAACTTTCTGTTGATTTGTATTCAGGTGCACTCTTTATTCAAGAATCTCTGGGCTGGAACCTTTATTTGTCAGTTATCCTGCTTATTGGCATGACTGCTTTGTTGACTGTGACTGGAGGTCTTGTGGCTGTCATCTACACAGACACTCTTCAAGCGCTGCTTATGATTATTGGTGCTCTCACACTGATGATCATAAGTATGGTGGAGATTGGTGGGTTTGAAGAAGTTAAAAGAAGATACATGTTGGCAACACCAAATATTACATCAATCTTGTTGACCTACAACCTTTCCAATACCAACTTTTGTCATGTCCATCCAAAGCCTGATGCTCTTAAAATGTTACGTGAGCCAACAGATGAAGATGTTCCTTGGCCTGGATTTCTGTTAGGGCAGACTCCGGCTTCTGTATGGTACTGGTGTGCTGACCAAGTCATAGTTCAGAGGGTTTTAGCGGCAAAAAATATTGCTCATGCCAAAGGATCCACATTAATGGCAGGGTTTTTAAAGCTGTTGCCTATGTTTATTATAGTTATCCCAGGGATGATTTCACGTATACTGTTTGCAGATGACATTGCTTGTATCAGTCCAGAACACTGCATGCAAGTCTGTGGAAGTAGAGCTGGATGCTCTAATATTGCCTATCCACGTTTGGTGATGAAACTTGTGCCGGTTGGTCTGCGGGGCCTTATGATGGCTGTAATGATTGCTGCACTGATGAGTGACTTGGACTCTATATTTAACAGTGCCAGCACCATATTTACACTTGATATCTATAAACTCATACGCAAAAGTGCACCATCTAGAGAACTAATGATTGTAGGAAGAGTGTTTGTTGCTTTTATGGTAATTATAAGCATTGCTTGGGTTCCAATAATAGTGGAAATGCAAGGGGGCCAGATGTATCTCTATATACAAGAGGTAGCAGATTATCTGACTCCACCAGTGGCTGCTCTGTTTCTGTTAGGTATATTTTGGAAGCGTTGCAATGAACAAGGAGCATTCTGTGGTGGAATGGTTGGGTTTGTTCTTGGAGCTATAAGGCTGATTTTGGCATTTATTTATCGTGTACCTGAGTGTAACCAGCCTGATACTAGGCCAGGTTTCATCAAAAATATCCATTACATGTATATTGCTACTGCTCTGTTTTGGATCACTGGAATTGTGGTTATTATAGTAAGCCTGCTTACACCACCACCTACAAAGGAACAAATTCGAACAACCACTTTCTGGTCTCTCAAAATCGGATCTGTAAAAGAAAATGCTTCAAAAGGGGATCCATATAAATTACAAGAAAAGACCATCTTGAAATGTAATGAAAATGCTAATCATATCATGCCAAATGGCAAATCTGAAGAAAATATTAAGAATATTAAGCCTGAGGATATCAATCTTCTAGTTACTTGCAGAGATGATAGCAATCCAGTGATTTCTGTAAGTCACTCTGAAGTGGAGACACCCGTTGATTGTTATTCAAATGGACAGGCGGCTCTCATGGGCGAGAGAAAGCATGAGGAAGAGACCGATAATAGAGAGAAGCATTGGAAATTCATAGATTGGTTCTGTGGCTTTAGAAGTAGAGACATGAACAAAAGAGACAACCAAGATATGGAGGAAGAGACTCTCTGTTCGCAAATGTTGGAAGAGACTCCAAAAGTTAAACTATTACTAAATATTGGACTATTCTGTGTCTGTTCACTTGGAATATTCATGTTTGTCTATTTTTCTTTGTGAATGGTGAGGCTTTAAGGGTATGGCTGAACATACACAGGCAGATACAAGTTTCTGTGAATATATATATATATTTTTAAAAAATACATCCCTTGCATTTCAGACATTGTTTACACTATAATTGTAAAATCAACTTTTTAGCCAATTTTAAAGACCATTGATT